CCCCAAAACCCCAAAACCCCAAAACCCCATTGCGGCAAATACATGTGGCAATAATAGGATGATTTAAATTCAAATTTAAATTTATATAATCAAAATAATGTCGCAGCAAACACAAAATGCATCTCAATTTTTATGTGCTCATCCCTACATAATTGGGGATAGCTTCATTAAAAATTGCAAAACCTGTGGACTATTTCTTCCTAAAGTAACAAACTTAGTTTTTGATAAGCTCTCTAGACAGGATCATAATCATTAAGATAAAATTCAAGGAGTTACGAGTGCGATTTCTTTATATCAGACTTGCTTAGGGAGATTTATGCAAAAGCACTTAAAAGATAGCAAATCTTCTTAAACACTAACTATTAAAATGTAAAGTTCACTGATTTTTAAGGGAATGTATAGATTAGGAGTTGAATTATCGACTGGCTGACTCATGTTGCTGATAACTACAGTCTCTAGATGAGTACGATTAATTTATCTGCTACGATTTTGGATCTATTTTTTCAGCAAAGTAATTTGCAAGCGAAATACGCTCAGAAATAAGACTTTGAGCTATATGCGATATCATCCTTAATGATTGCTGCTAAATAATTAGAGAAAGATGATAAGATTCCAAGAAGTGGTTATCTTGTTAAACATTTGAATAGTAATATGATGAGGTTTGACCATGTTGAAGGAGGTTCCTCCCCTAAAATAGTTTAATGTGAGCGAGAAATACTCAAATAAATTAACTGGGACTTTGAAAACTATCCAAATTTTTACTCAATGATAGATCTCTTTAGATCTCAAGGAGTCCTATTCACTCAGGATAGAATATTCAACCCTCATTTTCAATGCTATGATCTGTTGTCAGATAACACCGTCATTTTAGTAGACAAGTATATTGAGTTTTTCAGTCTGCTATGCCTCCAGGACTCTTAATTTTTAAATCAAAATCCCTACTTGATATGTTGCGCAATTATTGCTGCATCAAGGAAATCAGCAGGAGTAATCCCAGTTTGGCCAAACGAACTTTCTCAATTGTCAGGACTATTGATAAATCACTTTGTAAACATTTAGGATTTAGTAATCAGCCTTTATTAAACAGCTTTCAAGAAACCTTAAAACGATTCATCAAATGATAAAAATTAATCAGCATCAACTTAGAATAACCAATCAGTTTCTACGGCTGATTCGCCATTAATTAATACTAGCAAATTCCTAAACAGCAGCAGTAGTGCTATTACTCATAAACAAGCATTCACTGAACTACAACTTCAAAAAATTACACCTGATAAATTAGCTTGTAGCACTACTGTAAGTGGATTTAGAACTACTAAAGCTTAGCAACTAAGGCTAAAGGCTCTTACTTAATGCTAATCAAAAAGCCAGCTTTAAATTAATCAAGAAAATGAAAAGAAACGAAATTTCAACAGAAGCAGTTTTTGCGGTTCGATCCCTGAATACCCTCCAAACTAAAAGGAAAATATGGGGTTCAGTATGAATTCATCAATGGCTGCCTTTACATCTTATAAGGAATAGAAGAAAAATAAAAGTAGACCTCGGTCTAGCATCGAATATCAGCAATTTTTGCCTTAAAACACGGGATAATATCATTAAAAGAAATTAACTGATTATAAATCTTTAAGAATGCAGCCGCAAAGATGAAATGAATAAAGAATTCTAAACAAAATAAATACAATGACAGTTAATAACTATAATGTGTATAATTAATTATAGTAAAGTATTAAGTTCCACTGCCTAGTAATTGCCATCGATAGAACACAAGCTCTATTTTGACTCTATGTATTGCTCATTAATAGTCAGAATCTACCTGATCAATATTTCCAGCACTATCTTCATTTTTCATGCCGATATCTTCATCTGAAAGCAAATCCTAGCCATCATTGTTATCATCGTTGCTAAGTCCCATTATACTGCCTGGTCCTCCAAACTGTCCCTTGTTTTTCCTTTTCTATTTATTCTTCAATCCAATAATATTAGCTTATTTTGCTCTAAGTTGCTTATCCCTTTCATAGTTTTTATTCTACTTGCCTAGAGTCAAACCTTTAAACTTAGAGATAGAACTATTCATTTCAAAATCTATTGAGATTTTATTCAATTTATATTTACTTTTAGTTTCTTCCTCTGTATTTGGTGCAGTCAAGCTGCTATAAGAAAATAGTCTATCCAGTTAAGTAAACTTTGTATGCTTTCTTCCGCCAGCAGCACCAGCAGCAGCTTTTTATTGATTTGCAGCTCCATCCCAACCTTTAGTGATCGCACCTAAAAGTTTTAGAATTTCTCAAATTTATACCATATGAAGCTGAATCCTTAAGGTACTGATTTTCGTCCTAAAAGATTTTCTTTTCGATGTCTTTTAATTCTGATTCGAGTAGCTTTTGAATTCTTTGCAAATTGCTCAAAAGATTACTGTTTCCACTGGAGGATGATTATTTTCCAGATTTTGTTGTCATTATTTTAATTAAACAATTATTAATATTTAATTTTTTATGATAAATTAATTTCTAAGGTTAGATTTAGTATACGAAATCACAAACTAATTGTAGCATCATTAATAATCAAGCGTAAATTAGGTTTTTAACTTGGATGCTTCCATCAGCACAACCTAATAAACATAGATTTCCTTCTAGCGAGGTATCAGTGACCAAACAAGCTTTAGGTAAGCCTCCAAAGATTGAAACTGCTTTTCCAGTATCAGCTGAGAAAACCTTAGCTTAATTCTTATCAGAACCACCTGCAATTATGAAATCCTTTTTAGGATTAGTAAACTTAGCACTATAGATTTATGACACATCTTGTCCTTTTTCATCCCACTAAATTTTCTTTGTGCAAGCCTGAGTTCTCAAGTCCCAAAGTTAAAGACCATCCTTGACTTAGTGACTACCCGTTAGCAAAATGCTTGAGTCACTTTTAACATCAATGGCTTCTCCACATATCTAAGGGCCGAAAATACTTCCAGAGCATTTACCAGTTCTCAAATCCCAAATGTTAACTGTACAGTCCCAACCGCCACTATAAATTATATTTTACTGTTAGGGATCAAATTTGACACAGAATATTCTGTTGGTGTGGCCAACACCTCCTGCAGTTTTAAACTCTGTGATTCTTTCAAGCTTTTCGTCATCATATACTTCAAGTATTGGTAGTTTACCAGCTGCCACAAATTTCGAGCCTTAGTCCGGTGAGTAATCTAAACATTAATATGAGTTTGTCTCACTAACCAGCAAAGTTTTCATCTTATTCTGGTACTTTGGCTTCCAGTATAATATTCTGCCATCTGCACCTAAAGCTTTAAAACTTTAAGCATCGCAAGACTGAATTGTAGTTGGCCTCCAAGAAAGTGCAGTGATAGGATAGCTTATCTCTTCATCATTGATCTAATAGAGTCTATCTCCATGGTAACTTGAGTATATCGATAGACTTCCATCAGCAAAAGCTACTGCCATGTATGAGGAATCACATGAAAACTTAGATGAAAAAATCTCAGATTCGGTATCATGTAGTGTATATCTGTGCGATACATGCTGGAGCTTCTACTCCCTTCTATAATATGTAGAATTGAAGTCCATTTAAGAAATAGCTTCTTAATATAGCTTATCTGTGGAGAATTTACTTGACATTAACACTTTAAATTTTTCTGAATTTCTTTTAATTCCTAAACCAACGTTCAGATTTTTATACTGATACCTTGGGGTTTTGGGGTTTTGGGGTTTTGGGGTTTTGGGG